AGGTCTATAAGGAATTACTAGCTAGATCAGAGCCAAACCTCCAACTCTAGAAAACATCCCATAAAATATCCCAATAAAATCATATTGAGCATAAATTATAATACCATAATCGTGATTCACTAGAATATCATAAAAGTGATAATGAAGTTTATTTAAATCAAATAATTATCCTCCACATGTACGCCAAAAAGCAATCCCCAAAAATATATCCATAAGGACTTACCCGATACCCAATGAGTATAAGATCCAACTTGAGGGGATAAATTGGGCCTAAAACCCTACCTAATGGTCACCTTAGGTCCCTTAGGAATTACCAGCTTGATCGGAGCTAACCCTCTATAACTCCAGAATCCTACCCAAACAGTATCCCAATAAAACAATTTAATACATTAACCAATAATATCAGGATTCCATAAAAGAGACATATTTATTTCTCACTAAAATACTAACTAGATATTATATATCCGACAAACATAATTCATAAACGGTAAATCAAGAAATCAAAATATCAATTAGATAAAATATTCATAAATCGAATTAGATAAAAAATCATATTTCATAAAAAATAAATTAGTTATATAGTACACAAGGAACACACTAGATGATCCAATTAGTTTTTTCAAAGGTACTTGGAAGATATCAGGAAGGAAAAACATGGAACTTCTGTAAATTGATTGAATTTCATAATTGAGGTCCCTATTAAAAGGGTTCATTCATTAATAGATCTAATCAAGCATTCATAAATTGATGGTTCAAGACCATTAGGATTTCAGGTGCCTCGTAATGGTATTCAAGAACCTTATATTATAATCATTTAAGATTAAGATATAACATGAGTGATTCTATTAATCAGACTATTAGGAGCATTTTAGATATTTTGATTCTTGAATAATTCTTAGTAATATAACGTAATAACGGTAAAGTGATGATTTGTAGTATTCAAGATTTATATCGAATTATCAGGATTTCAATTCAAATCGTACTAAACAAGTCTCAACACTACAATACTTATCACTCATTTGGACTGAGATACTTCATGAATATTTGCTTCTTAATTATGACTACACTAGTAGAATTGATTATCTTTAAAATCATCATTAAATGGATATGGAGGAAACGAACAGGTGTTCCAGTAGTATTTATTTTATTTTTGTATTACAACAATATCAAGAATGATCGACATGCTTGGGTTGTGCTCCATAATCTTTAGGGGCGGTACAACAGTTAGGTTTGTCAGTGATTCTAGAATTTATCCAATATCATTCACTTATTTCTAGGTCATTTTAGTAGTCTATGTTATTTTAGTTATTTTAGTGCTCGATGGTATTTTGATTATTTCAATACTTGAGGTTATGTTGGTAATTTTCTTTGATTCAGTCCATGTATTATCTCCAATATATTTTCTCTAGGTGTTTATTAAAAAATTATAAATTTCAAGTATTTTACCCTCTCGGAGGTCAGAAATCAACCACTAAATTTTTATAAACATGTCAAGTATTTAACAAGTGAGTCGATGAGTTTATAAGGTCAAGTATGGATCCTCTAGTCAATTCGGGTCATTTTTATATCTCAAGGGAAATTTCTTAATCTATTATCTCTTATTTATGGCATTCAAACTTTTAATGATAATTATCGAAATCTAAGAATTCTAGAGTTAATTGCTTTATCGTTTAATCACTAAACTTGGAATTGTCTGTTATCATTCTTCTAGTCCTTTATATGAGTCACCTGAGTCTTATTCAGCTTACTACCATTTTACTTCATTCAGTTTGTGCTTTGAAATAATTAACTCTACACATATGATCAGTCTTAATCATTCATGCATCAACCAATAATAATTTGTTCCATAAAACATGCAAAAGATAATAATGTATTACCTCAATTTTTAAGCTACATCGGTCAACCATTTCAACTATATTTGATCACCCTCAAACTTGGATTTGACGTCTAATAATATCTTGGATACATAGTAAAATAAATTACGCTAGAAACGAATCTTAAACATGAAAACCGGATCCAATCAGGAGATAGAACAGTGAAAAACAACTTACATGATTCAAATTTGATAAAACATATCGTAAAAACAGACTCAGAACCTCAAAAAACAACATCAAAGGTGGTCCAAAAAATATCAACGTTCGGTCAACGGCGATCAATATTTTGGCAACTCGGCTCAAGACAACGGCTCGACTTGAAGATGGCTCGGCTTGAATTAGTCCAAGCGACTTAGATGGGTCATCTCAAACTCATCTAGATCGATTCAAACCAATTCAGATCGATTTAGAGGCTCATTGGCTAGCAGACAACCCCACGCACAAAGGTGACATACAGGGTGCATGCGGTGATTTCCAATACTCTGAATCACACCAAATTCTTTAGTATTAAAATTCATGGTGTTCTAAATCACTTACTTACGTTGTTGTATGCCAGAGATCGATGGAAAAATGCCTAATGAAATGTTGAAACTTAATTATCTTTACACCTCGTCAACAAAACGGCAACCAGGACGCCATCAATACCCGAAGAAGCAAAACAACGAGGTGAATCCTTTGGTGTGGTTGATGTCGCTCATCAGTAACTGTTTGACAACAAAACGATGAAAAACCAAGGGACATCCATGTTTTCTGACGAAGCTTTAATGGGGCATTCCTTAGCAATCGATGACTAGTCTCGACGATTATAACGTTGGGCTCTGATCGGATAGAGGTGGCTCTCTCGTTGGTGGGTGCGATGTCGATCACCTGTGAATAAGGGTTGAGATCTATGATGGGTGTTAAAATGTTTTCCTTATTTTACGATGAACAGTGGACTAGACGGGTGATTGTGAGTCGTGATTAGGGTCGTGAGACAATGACAGTGCTAGTGGTGGTGGTAGTGCACATCAGGGTTGGCTGGAGAGTGGAAGTCGGCACTCGTTGGTGAAGGATGGGTATGGTTGGGATATTTTGTGAGGATTGGGAAATTTCTAGGATAGTTTTAAATGGAAAATGAATAATTTTGGGGTTTAAACTGACTCGATTAAATTAAAAAATGATTGAAGTCTTATTACCAATAGTATCCTAACCTAGTTGGTAGAGGCATGGGAAACCTTTCTCTATTTTATGAGTTCAAACCTTGGTAAACCCCTTTTTTTTCTATTTTCACCTTTTAAATCTTAACTTTAAAAAAGACAGGTAAATTTAAATTTAGTCCCTAAACTACCCTCAAGCTTGTTAAATGACCCTCATGGTTCAAAACTTTGCATTTTGTTCCCCCAAAAGTTAATTAATTAAACATTTAAATTTAAGCTTAAAAATTAGGGTGTGACATTATTAGTTTTAATTATTTGAAGTCAAATTAGATGAGTTCTCAATTGTAAGAAAATGTGTAAAAAAAAGTAATAAACATCGTGAAAAATATGGAGAATTCACCATTAAAACTCATAAAAGATTCACCACCACGGTGATGTCACCACCTCAAGCCAAGAAAACTAGAGCTTCTTGAATGGTGGCGTTACCAGGTTTCCACCTCTGAAGGGTTGTTGACCAACGAAATCCTCGTGATGCGAAATATCGTCAAGAACATTTCATTGCATCCTAACGTGACCAACCTCCACGACGTTTACAAAGATCAAACCGACGTTCACTTAGTACTGGAGCTTTGCTCTGGCGGTTAGTGATGCATAATGCGAACATTGTTCTTGAGCAAAAAACAAAGATTTGATGTTGAAGATCATGGATTTTGGATTGAGTTTAGTGAATGAATTCACAAATCCAGTTAACGAATTGTTTGGATCCATTAATTATGTTTCACCAAAGGCGTTTTCTCAAGGGAAAATCACCACGAAGAGTGATGCCCGGTTATCAGGTTATTTGGATCCATTATCTTCATGCTCCTTGTTGGATTTGGCATTCTACAATCTCAATCTTTGGAAATTGAATTTTAGATTGTCTAACTAACATTACCGAGCTTCGTTTTATCTCTAGATGCCTACCATCTCATTTTTCTCTAGATGTCTATCCTCTCATTTTTCTCTAGATGTCTACCCTCTCATTTTTTTCTAAACTGTAGTGTTACTACCTTTGTCCCACTTAAATTGTCCCTTATTGACTCTTTTTTTCAAATATTTTCAAGTTTGACTCATTTATTTAAAATTTATTATTGATAAAAATATAAAATATACATTTTAGAAACCTTTTATCAAGTAATATTGAAATATATATTATTTTATAAAATTTAATTTTTTATAATCTTTATTATAATCATGGCTAAAGTTTAAAAATTTTAATTTTAAAAAAGTTAATAAGGGACATATTTAGTGGGACGGAGGTAGTATTATTTGTTATTGGAAGCTAGAAATCTAGCATCATTCTTGAAATGCAACATGAGTCCTTGAATGAAGGCAAATAGAGCAATGGAGCAGAAATGTCGAAAGAAGAAGTAGGGAACAGACGAACAACGATGGGGTTGGGAAGAAAACCTATTGAAAAAGGAAAATTTGAAATATTGTCTCTAAACTAATTTGAATTTACAAAAAGACTCATAATCATTATTTTTTCTAAAGTGTAGGGGTTAAAATAAAAATTAAACCATTTTACTAATGGGTCACGTCATCAAACTAACAGCATTCAACCTCCAACTGATCAAAACTTAATAAAACGATAATGTAAGTGACCAAAACTTATGTTTTTAAAATTTAGTGAGCAAAAGTGTACAAATATGAAAAGAAATTAACCAAAATTTAATCCACATATAATCTACATGAAAATGATGTAATTTTAATTTTATATATTTACCGTTCACGTCAATAAACCGTTAAAGGTTTAACAACTGTTAACTTTCAGTGACCACGTGTTAATTAAAAAAATAAAAGTGACAAGTATTATGTTTTTTTAATTTCAATGAGGAAAAGTTTATAAAAAGCAAACGAAAGTAATCAACTTATGTAGTTTAAAAATGTTTAAAATTACATTTGAGCTAATCTAGTCGCCACATAACTTTGCTAATTAATGTCTTTTTAATCAAGTAAATAAAATTAGTACAAGGCAGTGTTTCATATATGGGACCAACTTGTCCAATTCTTGTTTTTTCACCGACCATACAAAAAGAAAATGTAAATATATTTTTGCTTAGATAAAATAAAACTATATTGAGAGAAACGCTTAAAGAATTAATAGTTGATATAAACAAAAACTAGTATTAGTTAGTAAGTTGTGAATTTGATGATGATTTCTTCACAGAAGAGCAACGTGACACTAAAATCTTTTCATGTGACTATCCGTTCGGCTTCCCAATTCCACCAAAAAGCTCCGGCCTGTGCTTCACTGCTTACACTGTATCACAACCGTATATATATATATATACTTGGGAGCCAAAATCCCCACAGGAAAACATATATACATAGCCGAGATAAGGTGATATATCACGTGGCAACCCCAGATTCCGACACGTAACCGAGTCTATCGACTTCATCCCAAACTAATTTCGATGTTATTTCATCGTATTCGGGAACATACTCCTGTAAACATGGAAAACTCATAGTTAATGTCACATGTGAATGAAATCGATTTTTATTTTAAGTTTAAAATTCTGTTTTGGCATTGAATATTATATTAGGTTACCTCTAGTTGTCTGACCAATTGTTTGGCAGTTGGGGCAGACACGATAATGCAACGTGATGCTGGAGAAATAAAGCCTTCATCGACGGCCTTATCGATGAAAGACAACAAGGAGTTGTAATATCCATCAACATTCAATAGACCTACCTGCAACGAAGGAACATTTTCTTTATTATAAAAATATTCGTTTGTCTAGTCCACCTAAAGACATAATACCAACACCTTCATTTGACCAACATTTATATAATAAACTAAATTTCCCTTGCTCAAATGGAGAACTTCCAATCAATTCATCAAAGCATGAAGCACGAGAATTCATTAGGTTATCAAATCACATGTTATCTTTCCATGTGAGTTCTTTTCAAACACCACATGCATTGATTCTTAAATATTTCCTTCCTAATCCTTGGGGATGTATAAGATATTAATTCATCAATCGTACTCAAAGGGACAAGACAAATCAAAGGGACAAATAAAACATTTTTGGGTTAAAATTTCTTTTGTTCAATTGTCAAAGAAAGACATTTCACAATATTCTATTAGTTAGGGTTTAGACCATTTTTCTAAAATTCTAGTGCAGATAGTACTCTTCAAAATCTTTTCCACTATTAACAATATATATATATATATATATATATATATATATATATATATATATATATATCATTTAGATATAGTTGCTCGAATATGAATACTTTAAAAATAATATTTTTTACTACTAAGACCATTCAATAGATCTAGGCAGTTAAACAATCATACTCATTGGAGAAAAAACCGGAATATAGGGAACATGTTTCTTACAGGTTTACGATGTATTCCGAGCTGAGCCCATGTGATAACTTCAAGTAGTTCTTCCAGGGTTCCATATCCACCTGAGATTGATAACACATTGCGTAAATTTATATGCAACTGTAACACAGCGTTTGATTTCGTAAATATACATTCCTTCATACCGGGGAGGGCAATAAAGGCATCGGCCTGTCGTGCCATTTCGGCTTTTCTTTGATGCATATCAGATACAGCTCTTACTTCTCCAACAGTTTCACCTGTAATCTGCCAGTTTTACACAAGCTAATCAGTAACTTTAATTATAAACAAGATGGAGATTTGATTCCTAAGTTCTGAATATTTCACCTCTCTAGGCATCAAGGTCTTTGGAATAACACTGCAAAATCCAGCAACCAATAAAACATTAATCAGTTTCATTAATTCCAACTTGAGCCTTATTTGTTTTTTTATTATTATTAGTAAAAAGAAATGGTGGGGAACATCAACTCTTCCCTGGACCAGCATTGATGTCTCTTTGTTGAAAATGGTTCAAGAGAAAGATGGTGAAATGATGATTACTGCCTTGTGAAACATGAAGAAGAGAGAGAGAACAAACCCTAGAACATGGCGCCCACCATCATGAACTGCCTGAGAAACAAGACCCATCAATCCCACGCTTCCACCTCCATACACCAAATCAATCCTTCTCTCCACCTTCAAAAACACAACACAATGTTTCATAAAACGTATAGAAAGCTGAACCCCCTACACATGTCACGATGACATAATTTTTAAAAAAAATTACCCATTCAAGAATCAAGATAAGAAAACAGTACTTATAGGTATAGCTTAGTGAAAAAACACAGGCTCAAAGGGGCTTATGATATCAAGTCTAGCACGTTTGTTTCCCCTGGGGAAAAGCAAGGAATTATGATTATGGTTGTAATTATAATTATTATTGTATTAGCATTTCATACTCTTATATAATCATTAATATTTGGTCTATTAATCAATTAATCTTATATAATCATTAATATTTGATTTATTAATCAATTATTTTTTATATAATCATTAATATTTAATCTATTAATTGATTAATTGGAATACTATATAGACTCAATATAAACAAAGAGATCATGCAAGAAGGCTGCTCAACTGACAGTAAGGTTACAGCTGTCTCTCTCTCTCTCATGCTAAACCCTAAACCTTCTCAGCTTGTTACAGATAATCCATCTCTACAAACCATAATCATAAGCGCACGTCGAAGCCTTAATTGTTTCGAACAACACTCATATGGCACCATATAATGAACAGAAAATTCAGTACTAAAAAAATTAAAGAAATTCATTTCCAGGATGGGATATTAAACAAAATCAACCATCAAGAAGATAACTGCACCAAGTTCAAAGAAAACCATTCATTGAATTATATTTTTTTGTAGCAAACAAAACAATGGAAAATGCTAAAAAGGGTCTGAATTGAAATCATATTAATTTCCCAGGAAAAATTCTTCTTCCTCGGAAGCAGTTGAAACAGTAAAAATGAAACGAAAAAGGAGTGAATTTTAAATACCAATTCCTTGCCTAACTGGACGGCAGCTTCTTGATAACTAGCTTTCTTCCCTGAACTGCTTCCACAAAACACACAAATCCTCTGAAATCTGGACTTAATCTCTTCCATTTTCTTCGGGTTTTTTTCTCAAACAACAAGGATGTTTGTTGTAGAAGAAGAAGAAGGTTGAGAAATGAGAAGAAGGTGAGTATTACTAGCTGGTGCACGTTTAAATACACAGCGAAGATTTAAGGGAAATGGTTCCACCTGCAAGGGTAGTAACGTGATTCGATTTTTATTTTATTTTAATTTTATTCGCAAATTTTAGATTTATATTTTAATGGAGAGATAGGGAAGGCATTGTCATTTGATTAATTAATGGAACACGGCAACTCCTTTAGACTAGGGTGATGTGATTCTCGGCATATCTCACTTTCACATTTCTAGCCACTAGTTTTCGGCCACGTGGACTGATTGTATAGATAATTAGCCTTCCTAATTTGGTCTTGTTTTGGCCTTTTCTTTTAATTGATGAATCAACGTGTATACAATCACAAAAAATAAAGTAAAATCGAAAATAATAATAAATCTAATGATCACTAAATTCACAACTTAGCCTAATTTTCATGTAGGCAATTGGTTCAACATGATCGGCTCTGGTAAAATTGATTATATTGATGTTGAACTAATGACTCATTCTATCCTAATTTTCTTTAACAGTTCAATTATACCAAACTTAGCAACATTGCCATTTAAATTGAATCGAAGATTAAAAAAAATTACTTCAATACATACGTTCTCACATTAAATATTATCTACTATTATTTTAATTTGTGACATGTAAATAAAAAGCTAGTTAATCGAACTTATAGAATGACATAAGTGATTAAAGACATTATTTATAAAAATATGAGCCTATATTATCGTGTAATCATTCAAAGTTATTAAAAAAAAAGTTAATGAATTTTTTGTACCTAAAATGTGGTAATCAATCAGGGATGGATCGAGAGAAACGAGTGAGTACAATTACCCTCTAATTATATTTTTGTTGAGAACTTGTACTTTTGTTTACTATTTCTAACATAATTATTTTTCACTTACGTATAAACTAAGGGTGAACTACAATCAATACCACTTAATGGTAGGGGTGTTAAAAAAAACGGGAAATGTTAACCGTAAATGTTATATTTAATAGGTTAATTCATTGAAACGTTATATTTAATATGTTAATTCATTGAACCGTTAATATTAAACGGTTTTGGTTAACTGGACCATTAAAAATGGTGGTTAACGACATAATTTAAATAGCGTTCGCGGTCGCGTTTTCGATCGTGTTGCATTTATCGCGGTTGCAGACATAACGGTGTCATCGCGGTCATTGTGGGTGTCATGGTTATGAATTTTTTTAAAATTTCACACAATTTATCCTAAAACATAAAAATTATAACTATAATGTTAAGGAGTAATTTTAGATTAAATTAAATTAAATAAAAACTAAAAGTTTATATTCTATAAATTATAAATTTTTAAAGGTGGGAGGGTGATAAATTAACGTCTAAATTAAAAATATATTCTAGAAATTGTTTAAAATAATTATATATTAAAAAGAAATGTGAGTGGGACTGAGACGGTCCAAATTTGATTTTTTTTTTTACTTCAAAATTTCCAGAAGCTCCCTAATTCTCCCAACTCTCACTTAACCTTCCATAGAATTCCATCGGCGCAAATATTATTTTTGTTCTTTTTTTTTTTACTTCAAAATTTTCAGAAGCTCTCCAAATCTTCCAACTCTCACGTAACCTTCCATTTTTTAGAGAGAATTCTATCAAGCGTCCCCTTACAGGCTTGTCTTGATCTAGAGATTTTTTTCTTTCTAATTCTTCTAAACTTAGATCTAGGGATTTATTTTCTAGACAGATAATCAAAAACCATTGCTTTTCTTGATTTTTTACTTTGTCAAATGGAAGTCGAAGGCCCGAAGCTCAACTTCTTCCCGGCTTGTCCCCTTCCCAGTTTGTCCTCTTCCTGATTTTGTCCTCTTCCCGATTTGGTCATTGCCTTGATGAATGGCGAGTCTTGCTTGATACGCTCGATTGCTCTCTTTTTTTTTTTTTGAGTTCTCAGAACTTTTTTTTATAATGGTTGTTTGAAATTTGGTTGATGTGATGCTGATTCAATTCATCAACACCATATAAATTGAGTTTGGAACTTTGGATTTCTTTCTTTTGTACTAGCTTTGCATATTTTTTTCTTCTTTCTTTTCAATTAGTTTTTGCTGTCCTTTTTTTGCTTTTGCAGAGTGACTGCAAGGAATACATTTCTTCAATTTTTGGATGAAAATTTCAGCTTTTTTAAGTTATTTTTAAAAAACATTTGCAGTAACAGTTGAGAATAACGTTCCATTATCGACATTATTTATCGCTAAATATTATATTGTGGCCGCGACAGAGTACTATCGTCAACACTCTGTTATTCATCGTAATTTTTACGAATATCGATTTTGAACAGCAACGCTACCGCAAAATAGCAGCTGCTATTGTGATTGCGCCCTGCTATTCGAAACCCTGGTTAATGGTTAAGATTATGATTATAAATTTTGATAAACGATTAACCAATAAATAAATTTAATAATTATATTTCTAATTTATTATATTTTTACACAAATAAATTAATATATTTTTCTATTATTTATAATTTATATATATTTAATAAAATTTGTATACAAATAATTTAATATATATATATATATATATATATTTATCATTTTTTATTTTTTATTTCTTTAAAAATATAGAAACATACTTACATCAATATAATTATATGTTTATTGTTAGGTACTAAGATATTTGGACATGTACATAATTACACCGGTGAAAATATGCGTTAAGTGCTACGGTTTTTATTTTATTCACTTACATCGATATAAGTACGTGTTAAGTTATATACTTTTTTGAAGTATGAATTATGAAAAAATTGATAAATAATTGTAATAGGTTAACCTACGATTAACATGTAACTAAACCGTTAATAATAATTAACCGTTAGCGATTAACCATTTCTTAATGGTTAGGTTACGTTTAAAAAAATATTTTAACCGTCCATAAACAACCCTACTTAATGGGTAGATTTTAGTTTAATTATCATTTTTAAAAATTTTATCAGTAAGATTATTTTATTATTTAAATAATATCAATAAAGTTACTTATTATTAATAATTAACGAGAAATTTGATTTGGTGGTTATCAACCACGTCGGCAAAAATAGTATAATTATATATTTAATCTTTATTATTTGTAGATTCTATCATTTTGATTTTAATTTTAATTTTAAAATTTAAACTTCAACTAAATGATGAGATGTATTACTAGTCATATATGACAGGATAAAATTTAAGTACATAGGGGAAGGTGGGGTGTCCTAACCACTTGGCCAAATGACATATAGGGCTTACCGATTAGAACAACTTATATATATTATGATATAACTAATGACAAAAACTGGTTACATGAGAACTCAAACGTAAATTATTTAAAGAGTATGAGAGCACCTAAATCATTGGAATAAATATAATTCGTTATTTTTAATTAAATATATTTTATATAAATTTTAAAATGTAGTTAATATAATATTTAATATAAAATAAGTTTAAGCTAAATTTTCTAATTTTTATATTTTGTTATAATTTCATATATATATATATTTATAATTATTAAAGTAAGTCTTTTTTTTAACTTAATTAATAATTTTAATTTTTAATAAAAAATATATATTTTAATTAATTTTTATTGAATTATGTAGACCGAAATATGTAATTTAAATTATAATATTAACATAATCAAAATAAAGCGTAGTGAATGCGAAATAATTATCAAAGAAACTTTTGATGAAAAATATTTAAGATTAGAATTACAAATTTATTGGTAATTTGAGTTGTGCTAGTGAGTTTAAGGTTCATTAAATGAATTTTAAATATAATTTTAAATTTATTAATATAATTTCATATATATATATATATAATTGAATTATAAATATAAAAATATTAAATTAATTTAAAATATAAAAAAATTAAACATACTTTTATTTTAAATCTTGCCGTATATAAAAGAATATTTATAATAAATAAGGTATTATATTTATTTTTAGAGAAAATAACCTCAGTGACCAAAAATCCCATATAATATACGATTTTAACCAACTTTTTCCGCATTTTCCAAAATGACCAACAAAATCGCAATGCGATCGCTAATTCGCAACGCGATCTCCATTATCGCAAATTCGCGTTGCATTTCGCGTTGCGATAGTTGGAAATCGCGTTGCGATGGTATACAATGTCGTTGCGATTTTCCCAATTCGCAATGCGAATAAGTAAATCGTAACGCGAATTGGGAAAATCGCAATGCGATACTTACTATCGCAATGCGATAATACAAAATCGCAACGAGATACTGACTTTCGCAACGCGATTCTGACTTTCGCAACGCGATTTACATAGCGCCATTCGTATTAACGCGTATTTTTTTTTCAAAATCCAAACACGAATTTTTTCTTAATAAATCGGAAACTGAACCGTCCACAGTAATCGCAACTCATAACCTCAAACCCAAAAACACAACACTCAGTCCCATCTCCATCTCTCACTCTCTACGGCGAAATCCGTCCCCATCTCCGAAGATTTCCGTCCCCATCGCCGGCGAAATCCCTCACAACCATTCATAGTCAAAAATCCCTCACAATCATTCAGAAATGGAAAATCAACCTCCGAGGGTTAGTTTTTTTTATTTTTATTTTGAAATTTTTGCATTATTTTAGGTTTTTCATATTGAGATTGCTGATAAGTTTACTGGTAATTTCAATAATAGATTAACCATTTCACTTAGATTTCTTATTAAATTCATTCGATTGCTGCCAATACTGCTAAACTGTTTAGCCTGTGAAGTTAGTATTTGTCTTTGCTTTGTCTTTTGGTTGAAGTAATGTAGAAGAAGAATAGTTTCGAGAATGAAAATCGCAACGCGGAAATAACTATCGCAACGAGATAATCGCAACGCGAAATAAAAATCGCAACGCGAAACCAAAATCGCATTGCGATTTTCATTTCGCGTTGCGATTTTTATTTCGCGGTTGCGATTTTCATTTCGCGTTGCGATTGTCTGGTCGTGATAGTCATTTCGCGTTGCGATTCTCTCGTTGCGATAGTAATTTCCGCGTTGCGATTCTCATTATCTCG